AACGCCTCGACCACTCGCTTTTCTATTCTATTATACCTTCCGCCCAAGCAAGCCAGTGAAGTGGGTTTCGTTGGCTCGTGTGCCGAAGCGCGGGTTACTTCGGGCTTTCACTTCTTCTTATAAGGGGTTTAAGGATGGATTTTTCAAGGTTCGTTGGGGGTCGGAACTGAAGGATTGCTTCTACGACCGAGAAGGCTCCCCCTTGTTCCCTTTTTATTGGACGAGGCGCCCGACGCGTTTCGAAGCGATTCCAGCATCGAAGCTCCCTGCCGAGGACTTAGAGATTGTGGAATTGCTCGATAAATTACCGAAGGGTCTGCCTGTCCGAGGGTTGTTGGACCTTTTCGAAACGTCTCACTTTGAAACGGCCTTGCTAGGTATGTGTGTTAGGGCTCGATTGTTTAATAAGTTTTAAATTGATGTTAAAATTTGTTTTGTTGCAGGTTTAATGGCCGGAGGGAAGCTAGATGTCACTGCCATTCTCGCTCAGAGGGCAAAGGAAGCAAAAGCTAGTGGGAAGGTCCCGCCGGCTAGGGCAGCTTTGAAAAATCCGAGGGAAAAGCTGACCAACGTGATCATTCCTGTGGCCGATGCCAGGAAGAAGGGAAGTACCTCTTGGGTTAGGGCTGCCGAGCAAAACATTGAACCGAGCTCTTCCAGAAAGCGCCCTCCGCAATCATCCCTGGAGCAATCGGGCTCCGGCACCTTCGCCATCCCCGCCGTCGTTGCCGGGTCGAACTTCCTTACTCCTAATGTCCAAACAGAGAACTTGGTCGGGCTGGATCTTGTTACCGGGGGCGGGTTGCAGTACTTGGAGAGCATGTCTGCCGAGGCCGCGTATAAGCTCTTCTGCGAGCTCGACACTCAAACCTCTCTTGTTGCGAAGCATGTCATGAACCGACATGTTGTTTCGGAAGAGAGGATCTACGGTCGGCTCAGGGAAGCTGAGGGTACGGTGAAGGAGGCGTTGGCTGCGAACGCCAAATTAACTGAATCGGCCGACGAACTGAAGAGGGTTGCTGATGCTCATCGAAGGGAGGCTGACGATCTGAAGTTGGCCATGCAGAGGATGAAGGCCGACGCCGCCGCCTCCGCCAATGAGATTGCTTGACTGAAAGAAGCTGCTGCCAAGTTTGAGGCCGACACAACCGAGCAAATTCTATCGCAACACGATGCCGGTTTCCAGCAGGCCGTCAGGCAGGCTTATCAGTTTTGCGATGTCCCTGTTGGCTTTCAATTTGATGTGAGCCGTGACTTCCTGGGGGGCCGGTTTATGAGCTACGCTGAGTTCCTCCAAGGGGCTCAGCCCGACGTCGAGGCCCCTCGTCAGGAGAGCGCAACCTGAGCCCCCATCCAGACAACCGAGGAGGAGGATCCGATTATTGATGTAGTTGGCGACGGGAACCCTACTGATTCGGCAGCCGTATAGGGTTCGGCCGTGGTAGTCAAGATTTTTTGTAACCGGGCCGTTAGCACCTTTTGCAACTTTGGCCATTGGTGCCGGTATATATTGCTAGGATTTAACTAGTAGTGTTAGGATTTTTTTTTGTAAGTAGCCGTGTTAATCGGCCAAACTGAATGAAATACACTTTGATTATAAAGGGCTTTGGTTTGAAAGTGATCGGCCGCGAAACTGTATGACGTTTGAGTTCTTGGTTAGATTTTGCTTGGTTTAAAAGTGCCTTAATTCTGGATTGAACGAGTTAGGTGTGAGTTTTCGGTTAGCAAGTGTTCGGTTTGAATCTGTTCGGCCTTGAAATCATGGTACAGGAGCGGGCTATAGGTTAGCAGGTGCTCGAGGGGGGAAACCTGTTGGGCACGAGTTCACTCTGTCGTTGTCGGCCGAGTATTGCTCGGCCTCGTCGTGGTTGGGATAGTGCTCGGCCTAGGTGCATCCTTAGCCGAGGAGGGTACTTGGGAGGGAAACCTGTTGGGCACGAGTTCACTATGATGGGTCAATCGAGTTTCGCTCGGCCTTATCTTGCGGGGTGCGCGTTACTCGGTCTAGGTGCATCCTTAGCCGAGGAGGGTACTCGGGAGGGAAACCTGTCAGACTCGAGTACACCCTATGAGGGGTCGGTCGAGTTTTGCTCGGCCTTGTCTTGCGGGGTGCGCGGTCTAGGTGCATCCTTAGCCGAGGAGGGTACTCAGGAGGGAAACCTGTCGGACTCGAGTTTGCGTACGTCGGAGTGGTCGGCCAAGGGTTGCTCGGCGTCGACACATAATTGTATATTTAGGGTCAGACCTGCATATTTACGATCTAAGCATAGGTGTGTCGTAACAGAATGTAAAATCAAAGAGAATATCTTTGTATTAATTTGAGTGCCTCGTTAAAAACCTTGCCGACCCAAAACCCTCCTTAGGGAAAAAAGAGTCGGTCAAGGAAAAGAGTGCACCATTACATCAACTATAATACACTTTTAGATGCGAGGAGTTCCAAGTTCTAGGAATCGGTTCTCCTGATAAGTACTCCAGCTTGTAGGCTCCGTTGTTTAGGTTGTGTCGAACACGGTAGGGTCCGTCCCAATTTGGGGCAAGTTTTCCTTGTCTCGGATCCTTTCTTGCCTCGCCCGTGGCTCTCCATACGAGATCTCCTTCTCGGAATTCCCTAGGCTTTACCTTGCTGTCGAATCTTCTCTTGTAACGTTGTTTGGCGGCCTCGGCTATCACTACTGCTCGGTCTCGGATCTCTTCTGCGAGGTCTAGGTTAGTCTGGAGCTCGGCTTCATTGTTCAATCCGTTGAAGTGGGCTCGGCGAAATGAAGGTTCCCCAATTTCCACTAGGATCATCGCATCAGACCCATAGACCAATCGGAATGGGGTTTCTTGCGTGGTCGACTGGGGCGTGCATCGGTAGGCCCACAATATCTCAGGCAACTGCTCGGCCCATGCTCCCTTTGCTTCTCCGAGTCGCTTCTTCAATTCTGTTAAGATGACCTTATTTGCGGATTCGGCTTGACCATTCGTCTGAGGGTGCTCGACCGACGTGACCTTGTGTTGTATTCCTAGGCCGGCTAAGAATTCGTTGAGCTTTCGGTCAGTGAATTGGAGGTCGTTGTCGGTCTTTAGGGTATGTGGGATGCCGAAGCGGGTGATGACGTTCCTCCCCAAACATTTTTGGACCTGGTGAGCTGAGATGCAGGCCAAGGGCTCGGCTTCAATCCATTTGGTGAAAATGTCTACGGCGACGATGAGGAATTTGCATTGCCCCTTGGCGACCGGAAAAGGTCCGAGTATGTCGGCCCCCCATGTGGCGAACGACCATGCGGGAGGAATACAATGAATTTGCTGGGCCGGTTGGTGGATCAGGTTGCCGTGTTTTTGACATGGTTGACACTTCCTCACGAATGCTTCACAGTCGGTGTTCATGGTCGGCCAATAGTACCCGGCGCGTAATAGTTTGGAGACGGTCGTCCTTGCTCCTGAGTGCATTCCACAGACGCCCTCGTGCACTTCTCTCGTTACGTAGTCGGCCTCAGCGGGGTCTAGGCACTTGAGTAGCGGGGTAGAGAAGCCGCGTTTGTATAACTGACCAGCGATGATGACATATCTGCTAGCTTGAGTTCTCAACCGTTTGGCTTCGGTTGTGTCATCCGGTAAGATTGTGCTGGTCAGGAATGCTTTAATGTCGGTACGCCAGTCTGGAGAATCGGTAGGGTCGGTATGATCGGCCTCGACACTTCCTACCATTTCCGACTCGACGCTGGGGTGGTCAATCTCTTGCTGGATGATGGTTCTTAGTTGGCCCGGCTTCTTAGTCGCGGCCAACCTGGCCAACTGGTCGGCCCGAGTGTTGTCTTCTCTGGGTATATGTTCGACGGACACCTCCTGAAAGTTTGTCTTCAGCTTTTGATAGGCGTGATAGTACCTCATCATGTTGTGGTCTTTCACTTGGAAGTTACCGCCTATTTGTTCGGCTACCACTTTCGAGTCCGTTCGGCATTTGACCTTTGACGCACCCATGTCCTCGGCCAATTTTAACCCAGCAAGCAAGGCTTCATATTCGGCTTGATTATTCGAAGCTTTGAATCGGAAGCGCAAGGATTGTTCTAGGGTTATCCCCTTCGGCCCCTCTAGAATTACTCCTGCCCCACTTCCTTGTCCGTTTGAGGTACCATCTACATGAAGAGTCCACCAAATTTCTTCGAAGTGTCCGTGCGGGTGGAGCTCATTTATGAAGTCTGCTAGGCATTGGGCTCTGATCGGTCCTCTCGGCCTGAAGGTAATGTCGAACTGTGAGAGCTCCATTGCCCAAGCCATCATTCTCCTGCCAAGCTCAGGCTTGCCCAGGACCTTAGAGATCGGGCAGTCGGTATGAACAACCACTCGGTGACTTTGGAAATAATGTCTCAGGTGCCGAGAGGTATGGACCAAACCTAGTGCTACCTTCTCTATCAGCTGGTATCGGGATTCAGGGGCCTGAAGCAGTCGACTTACAAAGTATACCGGGACTTGGTTGCCCTCTTTTTCTTGTACCAAAGCCGAGCTGATCGCTTCATCTGAGACGGCCAAGTACACTTGAAGTGAGCACGAGGGGTCGGGTCTCATCAGGGTTGGCGGTGACGCTAAAGTTGCTTTCAGCGCCGTGAAGGCTTCTTCACATGTCTCATTCCACGAGAAGGTCGAAGCCTTCCGCAAAAGCTTGGTCATCGGGCTAATCTTGTCGGCTAAGCGGGGGAGGAATCGGGACAGTGCGGCCAATCTTCAGGAGAGTCGTTGCATTTCCTTGAGGTTGCTCGGACTTCGCATGTCTAAGACAGCTCAACATTTGTCTCGGTTGGCCTCTATCCCTCTGGCCGATAGCATGAATCCCAAAAATTTTCCTCCTTTGACTCCAAAGGTGCACTTTTTGGGATTGAGCCTCATGTTATGCTAACGTAGCTCTCCAAAGATTTCGGCTAGGTCGGATAGGTGATCAGCCACTGAGTTCGACTTCACCACCATGTCGTCGACATAGATTTCAATATTGCGCCCTATCTGCCTCTCAAACACCTTATCCATCAGCCTTTGGTAAGTTGCACCGGCGTTTTTAGTCCGAACGGCATGACTTTATAACAAAAGTTTGCGCTCTCGGTGATAAATGCCGTCTTTTCCTCGTCGGCCAGGTGCATCTTTATCTGGTTATAGCCGGAGTAGGCATCGAGGAAGGTAAAAATAGAGTGCCCGGACGAGCCGTCGACCAACCGATCAATACAAGGGAGTGGATAAGCGTCCTTGGGGCAGGCCTTGTTGAGGTCTGTATAGTCGGTGCACATCCTCCATTTCCCAGTTGACTTCTTGACCAACACTACGTTGGCCAGCCAGGTCGTGTACGTGACCTCCCTTATGAATTTGGCTTGCAACAGTTTCTTTACCTCGGCATCGGCGGCCTTTCGCTTCTCGTCGCCCATTTTTCTCTTCTTTTGTGCTACTGGTCGGGCGTCTCGGCATACAGCAAGCCGATGGCAGAGAAATCGGGGATTTATTCCTGGCATGTCTGACGCTGCCCATGCAAATAGGTCTTTGTTGTCTCGGACTGCTCGCTTAATTTCACCCGCATCGGCTTCGCTCAATTGGGACCCCATCTGGGTGACTTGTTCATGCCTCGAACCGAGTTGAAATGAAATTAGGTCTTCGGCGGGTTCGATTCGCTCTTCTTCACCCAACCGAGGATCAAGATCAATGCCTTCGGTCGTCTCCTGACTGACTACATTCACCCGGTTCGTTGTCGTCGGGGTATCGGTAATAGGCTTTACTTTCAAACTGGAGAGGTAGCATTCTCTTGCTGTTTTCTGGTCGGCGTGCACGGTGATTACCTGCCCATCCCTCGACGGGAATTTCATGCATAGGTGGGGTGTCGAAACAATAGCCCCTAACACATTGATCGACGGTCGGCCTAAAAGAACGTTGTATGATGTGTTTGCGTGCACCATAATGTAACGGATTTTTATCTCGCGGCAAGACTTTTGATCGAACCCGAAGCGGGTATACAAGTCGATGCTTCCCCTGGTCATCACTCTTTCGCCTGAGAAGCCGACCAGTGGTTCGTGGTATGGCTCTAGGCTCTCCTGCAGGATTCCAAGTTGCACGAAAGTGTTCCAGTACAAGATGTCGGCCGAGCTTCCCTGGTCGACCAATGTTTTCTTCATGATGCAGTTGTGCATTTCGACCAAGATCACCATGGGGTCGTCCTGTACGGGGTCAACGCCACAGAAATCCCGGTCGGAAAAGGTTATAGGCGGCATTCTCGGCATCCTCGACTGGTTCACACTATTTACTGATCGGACGGCGTGGAGGTGTCGTTTTCGTGCTGAAGAAGTGGACCCTCCTCCAGCGAAACCTCCGACTATTGTGTTGATCACCTTCCGTGGTCGGTCATTGTCTTCCCTGGGGCACTGCGATCGATCTTGCCTTTCGGGCGAACGCGATCGGCGACGTCGGTCTCTTGGCAGACGAGCTTCGCGGGAGTGGTGGTCTCTTTCCTTTTGGGGGGGTGATAAAGCTTCTTAGGTGACCCTGCTTGATAAGGTCCTCGAGCTTGTCCTTCAGCGCTGAGCATTCTTCGGTGGAGTGCCCCCTGTTTCGGTGGAATCGGCACGTCTTGGCCTTATCAGCTCTAGGGGGCGTGTTCGCCCTCTTCGGCATCACAAGGATCTCTGATGCGAGGGCCTGTTCCATTACTTTGGCTCTACTCGCATTGAGGGGAGTATACGCCGTGTAGCGAAGTCCTCTCGGGGGGCGAGTATTTGGGGGCTCGACGTTCGTTTTCTTTACTTGCTCTCGGCCAGATTCTTTTCAGCTATAATTTTCTTCGACCCTGGCCTGGTTCCGGGTCTCTGCAAGCTCTTCCATTTGCATGTACTTCTCGGCTCGGCGCCGGAGGTCGTTCATATCGGTTGGCGGCTTCTTGCACAAGCTGTTAACGAATGGTCCCGGCCTGAGGGCCGTGTTTAGCCGGTCCAGTGCCACGGTAGGATTAAGATCACCAATCTCCATTGCAATCTTGTTGAATCGGTCCATGAAGCTTCTCAGGCTTTCCTTCTTTTCTTGACGAACCCCCGCCACGGCTAAAGAGGGCGTCTTGTAAGGCTTGCTCGTTGCGAATTGTAGGGTGAACTGGGACGATAATTCGCTGAACAAGTCAATGGAGGCGCTCGGCAGTCTCGTGAACCAACTCAAAGCCCTTCCTTTCTGCGACATGGGAAATATCCGGCACAACGCCGAGTCGTCTTGAATGGAGAGGGTTGCTTGAGTCAGAAAAACGTTCAAGTGTTCCTCGGGGTCAGACGACCCGTCATACTTCTCGATCGGCATGCTCTTCCAATGGTCCAACAGTGTTTCCTCCATTATTCTACGAGAGAAGGGGTGCCTCAGGGAGTGAGTGGGGGCGTCGGCCTTGTTAGCTATCAGAGAGGTGACCGGTGTTCGGGTGACCTGATCAGTCGGGGCGTGATAGGCGGACTCTTCCGCCAGCGTGGGAGTGGATGGAATGTAAGTTTGGTTCAGGTTTCGGAGCTCGACATTTTGTCGACGTAGCTCGGCCAGCTCGCGGGCATCGACTTCTCTCTGCCTTCGGATGGCCGCCATTTCCTCGCGTAAAGCACGCAAGTCATCTTGGAAGTTGGGTTGTTCTTGGTCAGTATTCGGCTGCACCTGTTGTACCACAGGCTCCGGTTGGGTCTGAGGCATTCCGTACGGGTAGCGCTCTCGGTTGGTCATGACGGGATTATCTTGGGGGTTAGGGATCGACTGAGTCGTTGTTGATTGTCCTTTACGGGTAACTACCATGTCTTGGTATCAGTTGGTAGGGTAAAAAGGGGCTAAAATGTCTCTTCGGCCCCACGGTGGGCGCCAAATGTTCCTGTGTTAGGATACACACTTCACTTATCCTTGTTGTAGCGGGTCTGATCCTGGGACTCGGTCTTCTCGTTCCTATCCGGGTAGTCCGATGTTAGGGGGGGTGTGCCTGCAAAGACACTCCAACGCTCAAGTAAGTGCTCGGCGTAATAAATGCGGTAGTTGAAAGTTGGTTACGTACCTCGAAGGTGGTCTATTTATAGTGTTTCTTATTGGGCCGTGATTAGGAGCTGGGCCCCGGAAAATTAGGGGGCTAATCTGGCTTATTCCTTTAATTAATCCTTTCGTAATCATACTGGTGGAGTCTCGGGGCTCGGCCGACTAGACCGACCCCTTTTGTTTGGTAAGTGGTCGGTGTCTTCAGGTAGTGGTTTCAGTTTGGATTGGGTTCGGGTGTTCGGTGGGATCGGTCGGGTTGGCTTCGGTCCCATACAGTATAATTCTTAAGAGTATAAATGTCTTTTAAATACACACATTTTTCTTTCTTGGGTACTTCAATGCTTCTCTTAATCCTAAAGCGATTAAAAATCATCCAAAAGACACAGTTTTAGTGTCCTAGTACACTAACTTGCGGAACGAATAATGCATGTTAAAATAGTATCACTGTAGTACACGATTTTAATAATATTTAATGTCACATCACAATTCACAGGAAAGTGACTAATTTTAAAAATAATAATAATAAATAATTAATGTGACTTTATTTTTTTGGTAATTAATTAATTAATGTGACTTTGGAGTTTACCTAACGGCACTGGGAGAGTAAAGTTTACCCCAGATGAGACTTTACGCGTCGGAAAGAAGAACCGAGGAAACAAATCAGCAACATATTAGGAATCTTCTTCATCGGTCTTGCCCTGATACTTTATAAACGTTCGTTTTTGGTACCAATTTTCGAATCTATCAAATTGAGATCCTCACGAGAACTCGAATAAATTGCGCTCATACCCCTTAACAAGACACAAAGTCACGAATTTCGTGGTTGTTTCACAGGTACGCAAACTGTCTCTTTCATCTTCTGAACTTGCAATTTGAGAATCAAGATTTCCTCTGTCCAATTTTAATTTTTGAATCTTGACCCTTAATTTTATTTTACGATTTTATAAAATTAATATAATAGAAGGGAAAAAAAAGAAAAGAAAAGAAGAAGCCAGGTCATGGCTACACCCTTGACTGTGTGAAGTGTGACTTCAGTGAATCCAGGTCCCAATTTGAGACACTCATAAACAACGTTGACTTTAATTTTCCTTTCATAACTTGTATCTCGTTTGATTGTAGAATAGGAAGCATACTAAGAGAGTGAGAGAGGAGACAAAGGTTGGTTTTTCATGGAAGATACCACACAGCGTGTTGTCCTTCCAAAACTATTTCAAGAGAGATTAAGGATGATATCGGAAATAGTGGAGAAGGGTCAACGGAGTGAAAGCAACAAGCAAATACTGAGGTCAACGCTCAAGGATATGACTCCTGTGGTGCAGGAGATCAAGCAGTATAACGAACACTTGAACCCACCCAGACAAGAAATCAACACTCTTATTGAAGAAAAAGATGCAGAGGAGGAGCTTGTGTGCAAATGCTTCTCCAAGTGTCTCTCTTGGTTTCTGTGCAGATTTGGGATCAAGAGGGGTGGTTCATTTGCTGGTGGTGACAAGCAAGCTCTTGTGGCAAAAGATGTTGAAGAGACACTTTACATGATGAAAGAAATTCTTGAGCTTCTTAGCAAAGAGAATTTTGAGCAGAAGCTTGGTGGTGTTGGAGGACCTATCAAGCGTCCTTTTTGTGTTCCTGAAAACCCAGAATTCACTGTTGGGTTGGATGTGCCGTTGAGTGAGTTGAAGATGGAGGTTCTCAGTGATGGTGTGTCAGTTGTTGTGCTCACTGGGTTGGGTGGAATGGGAAAAACCACTTTGGCTACGAAGCTCTGTTGGGATGAAAAAGTCAAGGGTAAGTGTTGACTCCCTTTTGTTTCTTTGATGTATGATGAATTGGTTGACTAGTTCTTCTTTTAGATGATTTCATCACGGCCCCTCTTTTCTGTAAGTATTTTGTCATCAATTAGTAGTTAATATCAACCATGTCTTAACTCTTAACATTGAAAGAAAAGTAGTATCAGAAAGAGATGGCAAAAAAAATATTGCAAAGTTGCAGACATGGCATGCAATTTATGTCTTAAAACATATTTAAGCTTAAATAATGAGTTAAGCGGTTGCAATATATGCTCACAATGAAATGAATACCTTACATAATTCATTCTGAATGGTACAATACATTGAATGCTGTGTTTACAGATCTTTTTGGTTTGGCTTAGGTAAATTCAAGGAAAATATTTTATTTGTCACCTTCTCAAAAACACCCAAGTTGAAGATTACTGTGGAGAGATTATTTGAACACTGTGGATACCAGGTGCCTGATTTTCAAAGCGACGAAGATGCAGTTAATCAATTGGGAAGTTTGCTGAGGCAAATTGGTAGAAGTTCAATGTTGTTGGTCCTGGATGATGTTTGGCCTGGCTCAGAAGCCCTTGTCGAGAAATTTAAAGTCCAGATACCAGATTATAAAATTTTGGTGACTTCTAGGGTTGCATTTCCTAGATTTGGCACCCAGTATATCTTAAAACCACTTGTTCACGAAGATGCAATAACCCTTTTCCGTCATTATGCTCTCTTGGAAGAATGCGTTTCAAGTATTCCTGACAAAGAACTTGTCCAAAAGGTAAGAATCATATGGGAGTTATCTATACTTGTTCCTTTTGTCTGAGGTCAAGTCATTCAATTGAAGTAGATATCACAAGATTGGATATCAATACTTGGAAGTGGGAACCTTTTTCTCTCATTTTTAGCAACTTATCATTGAACTAACATAGATGAAAAATAAATTAGAAAACCATGTTTTGATCCCCTAAAAATAACATGTTACTTGCAGCTTGGATGCCTAAGTCATAGCAATTTGATTGTTGAATATTTTTGGCTGCAAATACAGGTTGTGAGAAACTGCAAGGGTTTACCACTTGCCATCAAATTGATTGGAAAATCTCTCTGTCATCAGCCTTCTGAGTTGTGGTTAAAGATGGTGGAGGAATTGTCACGGGGTCATTCTATACTTGATTCTAACATTGAATTGCTAAATTACCTCCAAAAGATCTTAAATGTCTTGGAAGATAATACTATCATCAAAGAGTGCTTCATGGACCTAGGGTTATTTCCTGAAGACCAAAGAATTCCTGTTACTGCTCTCATTGATATGTGGGCAGAGTTATATAAACTAGATGATGACGGCATAGAGGCAAAGACCATTATCAACAAATTAGATTCCATGAATCTGGCTAATGTCTTGGTAGCAAGGTACAACTGCTTATATTTTCGTCTAAGCTTCTTAATCCTAATATATACAACAAATAACATGAATTTGTCCTGCATAGAACGAGTAATTCAATGGCTTGGATAGCATATGTGAGAAGTATATGTTTCGTGATATAATATTCCAAAGTGAAATTAAGCACCTTACTTTTTATAACTGCATTTATTCTTGTGAAGTTATTTTGAGGACACAAGTTGAAATTCATATTTATTCTTTTTGGTCGAGAGCATTTTTATAATCTTGTGAGAGAATTTTTCTTTCTTAAGGAATTAATTTTGCTTATTTACCAGGAAAAATGTTAGTGACACAGACAATTACTACTACAATAACTACTTTATTGTCCTTCACGACCTTCTGAGAGACCTTGCAATTTATCAAAGCACCCATGAGCCATTGGAACAGAGAAAAAGATTGATTATCGAGATAAATCAAAATAAACCTGAGTGGTGGCCTGGGGAGAAGTCAAAACAGAAACCCCAACAGGCTGCTGCCCACACATTGTCGATATCAGCTGGTGAGTTATACTTGCACCTTTTCTAAACTTTCAATTTACAAAGTAAAAACTTACAGTGATCTTCCATTCATTTCTCTTGCACAACTAATGCCATATGGGTTGTGTTTGCAGATGAAAATTGCACTTCATATTGTCCCCAAATGCAACTAGCTCAAGTTGAGGTTCTCATTTTTAATCTTCGAACTAAGCAGTATTCATTTCCAGATTTCATGAAAGAAATGAGTAAACTGAAAGTTCTGATAGTCACAAATTACAGTTTCCATCCTTCTGAAATGAACAATTTTGAACTACTCAGCTCTTTATCTAACCTGAAAAGAATCAGACTAGAGCAGATTTCTGTTCCTTCCTTTGTCACAGTGAAGAATCTTAAAAAGTTATCCTTCTACTTGTGTAATTTGAGACAGGCATTTGAAAACTGTGACATGCTAATTTCATATGCATTTCCAAATCTTGAAGAGTTGAATTTTGACTATTGCAAAGATACGATGGGATTGCCTAAGGGGCTCTGTGATATCATCTCCCTGAAGAAGCTCCGTATTACTAATTGCCACAAACTCTCTGCACTGCCGCAAGAAATTGGCAAGTTGGAGAATTTGGAACTCCTAAGTCTAAGTTCCTGTACTGATTTGGAAGGGATACCAGACTCTGTTGGAAGGCTTTCAAATTTACGACTTCTTGACATCTCAAACTGCATAAGCCTTCCTAATTTACCGGAGGACTTTGGTAATCTGTCTAATCTACAAAATCTCTACATGACAAGTTGTGGAAGGTGTGAATTACCATTCTCGGTCACTAATCTTGAGAAGTTAAAGATGGTAATATGTGATGAAGAGACAGCTGCTTCATGGGAACCTTTTAAACAAATGCTTCCCAATCTAAAGATAGATGTTCCTCAAGTTAATGTTAACTTGAATTGGCTTCATACAATTTCCTCCTAACACTTCATGAAATTCAGGTTGTCTTTCCAAGAGACATTGATCACACCAGAAAGCAAAAAGAACAAAAAACAGTTTTCACATTGAATTATGGTGAAATGAAACGTCCCTATTAACCATTGCTGAAGGGGATTTACTGTTAGGGAATTCATCAAACACAAAACATTTATGAATATCCAAGTTCAAAGAGATTATCAATTATGTGATCAGCTAGGATATCCATCCTTTTATGTATCCATCAATTGGAAAAGACAGCTTGAGTTGAGTGGCAACTCACTATGTCTCCAGCATCTACTGTGGGAATGACACAACTAAGCAAGGGTCCAAGGTCATGCAAATCTTTATTCTAGTAGCAATGTGCTTACTTGTCTTTATAAAAGCTGCAATGTCTTGGAGAACATAAGACCATTAAATGTTTTAAGGACCTAGGTTTTTTTCATCTGAAGACCAGAGAATCCCCATGATACCAGTGCAACAGAGAAAAATTATGAACTGGTCAACCTGAACATGGCTGATTTTCGTTGTTACAAGGTAATGTGGGATGGCCTTAAGTAATTTGATGTGCTGTATGATAATCATGTAAGGCCACTTATAACTGTAAACAGGAACGAGAACTCTGTAATATTGGTTAGTTTTTCCGCATGGGGAGCAAGAGGCAAATGAATTCTGACGAAGAAAGTGAGAAAATGGCGTGAAAAAAGGAAATAGAAAGGAAGGAAATGAGATGATAATATGAATATTTTAACATCTGTTTGAGAGGAGAAATAGGAAGCTTTTTCCGTCGGATATTAAAAAACACTTCCCTTTAAAATTTGCATGAAATGGGAGAGAAATGATTTTTTTTTAATTTCTTAAAAATTAATTTTCTTTCTATAACAAAATTAAAAAAATATTTAAAAAAATAGTAAATGTATTATTTTCAAATAATACAAAATATTTTTATATTATTTTCTATTTTCTTTTTCACTTGTCCATATAAGTGGAGAAAAAATTACTTTCTTTACTCTTTTTTTTTAAACATTTGTTTTACTTATAATTCAAGCAAAACAGTAGTGCTGAAGGGTATACAGTGTTCTCCATAAACAAGTAAATTAAAAGTTTCACTCATGACATCTACCTGCAGACAAAGGTAATTTCTTCTTGCCTTTCAATTATTTTCTCTTAGATCTTAGATAAATCTGATTTGAGTGCGTCAAAACCTTTTCTCAGCAAATCCAGCGTGCGGTTGAAGAACTTGCAGAAGTTTCTTTTTCAATGTCCAATGTGTGAATGAAGCATTTGAAATTTGCTATATCCAAGATTCGGATTTGACGAAAAATTTGGTGTAGATGAACTTTGACTACTGCATTGTGGAGCCATAAGTGATTCAATCTAATCTCAACTTCAATTGCATTCGCAAAACTGGGTTTGACTACAGAATAAAGAGGGGGACAAAATAAGAACAATATAAATGAGAAAGTTACAATAATAAGAATTATCTATACTAATAATAAAAGAGATTTTCTTATTTAATAACTATTTTTATCTTTTTTATTTTACTCTCAATAATTATATACAACCTCTAATAATTATACAAACTACTTGGATAAATTTATTAATATTTTTTTAAAGGAGGTATGTAGTGTTTTTTTTTTTCTTTTTCTGGCTAGCCATTATAAAGACTTTCAAAAAATTGAAAAGAAACTAGAATAAGAAACATTTAAGGAGCTTTCATCTCAATGTGGTTCCATGACTCTTTCAAATATGCACTGTGAAAATGACGTTGCATGCTTGCAACTTCTATATCCATTGTGCGTGGGTAACTGAAAATTGGAATTCGTCCATTCGGTTCTCAAAGGCAATAAGTGAATAAACATTACACAAGTCAAAAGAATGTACTATTGTGTCTTTTACAAATTATTTCATCCTTATACTCGTCTAAGATTTGGGAGCAAAATCGATTTAGACTTTCCCCTTTCATTCTATCAAGGATCAGTTTGTATAAAATTTAAAAAAAAAAAGGTGTTTTTAAAAACATACTACATCCTTATACATAAGAAACCTTTTAGTTCCCTTCCACCCCCCCTCCCCCCCCCCCCCCCCC